CCGAAGTTAACTCTTATGTTCTGCATTTAATAATATATTTCCATTTTGTCACGTAAACTAAATTTAAAAATAATAAAATACGAAAGCTTACCGTAGACAGGTACTCGGCGGTAGTATTGCCATATTTTTTTATTTAAATTATTTACACTCATACTTGAATTTATTAATTTGCTTAAGCCGAGACAGGCGTTTTTGTATGATGGTTTCGTACGGATTTAAATAATTACGTAAAAAATCGGATCACTCCTCCGCACGGTCAACCACCTGCAATTTTAACATCCTATTTCTTCGTTACTGTAATATTACCAGGGTTGTTATGTTTAAAACATGTTTACGGCAAGAATTAAAAGCATGTGTTGTTTTTTGGTTCATTAATAATAATAAATAATAATATATATCCTTCAGAAAAAAAGTTTCAATATTAAATAGTAATATCTATTTATTTATTTTGTTTTCATATTTATTTTCTTTTTGTTCAGTACTCTTATATATTATATAATATATTATGTTACAGTTGGAGTGTTGAAAAAAGTTATTTTGTTAGGAATTAACTAGGTATTGTACGATAGTAATCAACTTGATTATTCTATCATTTATCACAACCATATTATTTTTTTATTAGAAATGTTTAGTAAACGATAAAAAAGTTTGATTCCGGGCTAATCGACCGTCCTGAAACACTTAATATTATTGGAACAGGGGATACCCTAGGTACACGCGCATTAAGAATAAACTTCAAATATAAAAAATATAGAGAAAATAATCAATATGTTTGGAATGTTCTTGAAGATTAATTAAAAAAAAAAAACAATTTGAAAAATTCGTGTAAACAATTTTAAATTGGCTACAAATAAATAAAAATAAATAACTTTAAAAATACTTTTGACAGTACCTATATATTATGTTTCGCGTAAACATGGCGTCGGCTTTTTCCAACAAAAACGACCATTTCTATGTTTAAAGCCATTCACAATAATGTAATATTATTCACTTCCATTTTCCGCCAAAACGAACAAAATACAGATTTTGGTAACCCCTATAGCTTATTATAAAAAATAAGGATTGAAATATTACATTTTATATTGTTTTTTTTTTTTTCAAAATATTCATTTCTCTTATTCATATAGTGACAGATATCATGAAGTTTTTCAGGAATATCATTCCAACTTAAATAACCGTTTTTATTACATTAATTAAAACACATTGTATAATTTTATATTAAAGTATAAAATATAATACGCATACTACCCTTATTAGGATTTATTCAAAAACAAAGATAATAATATAGCGTTCGTGCTGATGTTTTTTTTTTGTGTCTTGCCGACAAGTGCCAACCCGCTCACGAGCAACTGTGACTTGGAGCTGGTAATCTTACCTCCGAGATCATTCCTTGCAGTGACGTGTCGAAGGTATTATTTTGGAGCAATTGCTCCTTCGAAATTGTTGGTTGGTGGGTGTGCTTCCTCCCACAAAATACCTAGCCGCCTAGGTGACTAGGTATATAGTAGAAATATCATATCCGACTATACAAATCGTTACAAATGTAGGCAAATTTTGTAAAATTTTTAATTTAAACTTTTTTGCTATGTTGGAAATGCCGTTACAAACATCGTGGGGGGTAGGTGGGTGGGTACCTTGTATACATTTTTGCTCCTCACCAAAAAGGAGTTCAACACGCCACTGATTCCTTGTCAACCTGGCCGCCTTACCAGAACTACGTCGGGGTCATTGCGCCATGATAGTTGGACTCAATGGTAGATTTAGTGATTGGTGGAGGAGTGGGAAGGTGCTAGGACCCAGAGTACCCACCGTTCCCAATATTGAACTTTTTGTTTTTATTTTAAATTTTAAATACTGCAATTATCTGCGACTTAACGTTTGTTATTCGTTTATTAATCGTAGGCAGCTGCGGACTCTTAACAGGCGATTTTTGTAACAAATATTTTTTTTTCGTATTTGCTCTTCTGAATAATATATTATTTATCTACAACATCAGCGGAGTCCGAGTATGAAGTGAAATATTTTCCCCGGCGCCGACAGAGTTACATTTTCGTCGTCACGCCAAGATACGGTTGGACTACGTTTTGGTCACCGCGGTCGTATCCCCGTAACCACTTGCCTTACCATGTGACTGGTTCATCCGTTTCGTTACGCCGAATGCAGTTTGTGGCCAGTCTATGTACTTTAGCCAGACGCCACATCGATTGCTTTAAGTACGTGCGACCGTTCGTCTACATAATCGTTCAATCGTTGGTGAGTGGCAAACCTCCTTTTTTTGTCTTTCGCCGATCCTGCGTTTTGGGACCCTATAGTATTATTTTTGGCATTTGACAGCCCTCGCACGTCCGAGTCGGGCCATCACAATTGGTGTTTGCTTTTTTGCCCGAAAATTGTCATACATAGACAGTGAAACCTCCCCCAATGACACCTCAATAGCGGAATTTTCTTGGGAACCAATTATTACAAACTTTCTAAAATATGAACCTATTTTGAATATTGGACAACATTTCTGAGACCGATAGTGTCCAGTTTCACTGTATAAATAATAAATAAATTATAGGTGTTTCGTTCAGCCGTCTGGTGATTGATATAATTTGTATTAAATCGTTCAGTGTCATCGTGTCGGCACCGCCCAAATAAGCATACTATTATTAGCTGTACGACGACACGATCAAACGTCGTTGCTGTACAGTGCACACGTCGCTGACAATATTGTTGCCCGGAGATACTAATAAATTCATCTTCCGTTTAGTGTTTCCCATGTACAATACAAAGGATGGATCTGACGATATCTATGGCGGGGGGAGGTGTGAATAGGGATATTTATGAGTGAAATATAGGATGGAAGGTACAAAGAAGACATGACCGTAATTATAGCAATCGGATTTGAACTCCAAGATGAGGGGGTGATCTTTACGCTCCACCCCCCATAAATCTTCCACTGTACCACACTGAATTGAATTCTGTTTCTTTATTATTGTTATTATTGTGTATATTATTATTGCTGTCCAGGAACAGACGTCCTCGGCGATGATATTATATTTTTGTATAACACAACACATATTTTATTCGTTGAGGCATAGGTATTTATTGTTGCTTTCATTATTTTATATTTTATTATAAAATCCATCTGTCCTATGGAAGCGCGAGTTGTCGTGGTAGACCGCCTATTCGCAGGAGAAACGTCTGCACCAAACAAATAGAAAGTTATAACTTGGAAAAATATTGTTTTATGTTTTCCAGTCGGTATACAGCACTAAGCTGTCGTACATTTTTAATTAATTAAAAGTTTAAAAATATATATCTCATATCAATCTCAAAGTAGCTAGGTATTAAAACGTATATAGTTATATGGGTTTTGTATATAATTTTAATATCAATGATATTTAATTTAATAACGTCTGCAATTACTACTGGCGTTACCTCACTTTATATGATTTAAAAAAAAATGTTCAATGCAATTATTATTACCTGATGGGAAAATTGATTGACCACGTGCATACTCAACAGTTTAAATTTAAAGGAAGGTTATTTTAAAAATTTATTTTAATAACTCTATACATAATTACTATACAGTAATATATTATTTTTTATTTTTTATTTTATTTTATTAAAAATACGGGCAGAAGTAAAATAAGTTATAATAGTATAAAGAAAGATACTTTTTAGTACATGTGTACAATAATTTAAAGAAACTAGGAAATACATTGTTAGCAAAAATTGGTTAAAAAGTCTAGGTAATACATAGATATAATAACAGGTAAAATCAGTATAATAAATTGATAACATATAGTAATATTAATGGTATAGCTGGACTAATTCATCCAAAATTATGGGATTGGCAATCTTCATCATTCTAACAAGTGGTTGGTTCATGGCATAGTTAGTGGTGCATATAGAAACAAGAAAAAGAGAGTTAGCCCTAGAGAATGATTTGTTTTTAAAGTTGAGGCACTTTAAGAGGGAAGGGGGAGTCAATATCACTATTTAATAACTTACAAAGAAATTTCAACCCTTCTGTCTGATAGAGAGGATAGGCCAATGGACTGGATTACTGGAGTGTAGTCGTGTGTTATGTGTTCAAAAGCAGCCAAACTTAGGAACCTTCGATGCACACTCTCTATTTGCTTGGATAAACTAAAATTATAAGGATTCCGTATTATCACTTCATACTCTAGTAAATAACGTATAGGGCGCAGTAAAGAGAACCTTGATTGGAGTTAATATTTTGAATTCTAAACAGGTTCTCTTCACAAACTTAAGACATTTTAAGGCCATATGGCCGGTGCCTCTATGGAGCGTGGTAATTCAATTCTACATCGAAAATGACACCCAGGTCTTTAACACAGCTACCAGCACGGGCGATACGAAGGGGGAAAGGCCTAAATAAATTATTGACATTTCGAGGCATTTAAAGTTAACACTAGACCAGAGTATCACCGATTTGAGGTCATCTTGTAGTAATTGACAATCAGCATGAGGATTAACTTTTATAAAAATATTATTCAGATGACACAGCCCCTGCTGCTGATGCGCGCCACCGTCGCGGACTTTGCTTGACCAATAATATTATTATGAAATCCCCTTGATCGTTTTATTATGATTTATATAATTATATATTATAATAATAAATTATACAATAGGTATCGTGTTGTTGGCCAGAAATATTATTATCTATGTTATTATATAACAGCACCAACACCCGTATCACATTACCGTTTTAATCATTATATTATTTATGTGTTTATTTTTATCGGCACGGCCGCCGTGTACCAAGGTCACTAGCGAAGTCACTGACGTCATCGCTTGTGTTTGATAATATTGCGTGATGCCGCCGATCCGTTTCGTCGGCGGCACCGGGCACGAGTGTCGCACTATCGCAGCGGTCGTATTGCCAGGTTTACGTTTATTGGACGCAGCTGCGCCGAAGTTATCACATCTCGTGAGTTATATATTTCGAGTCGTATATATTTTTATTGTCCATTTCCGTTGCACCTACGATGTCTAACGCCGGCGTGCCCGACAGTGTCAAGTGTCTGGATGGAGTCGACTATGAAGTCGTAAAAGTAAGTGCATTCTTATAATATGTAGCTGTAGTGTATACTATGTTATAATGTAGTTTTTATCGGTACGACTGTTACTTACAAAATAATTGTATCGAACACCGAAATGTCGATTGACTTCATTAGTGCCAGTTTCGGACCGGATAACGAACGGTCTCGTCCTCCGACGGCCAACCGCGGTATAAATCCGGTGCTGGAATTGGGGCGACCAGTGAGAGGGACATGCAAATGAGGTGTAAATGTGCGTACTTACCTGAATATTCAAACGTCTTATTTATCGGGATATAGTGTTAGGAGGGGTACGAATAAATCTTTTTTAAGAACAATAGAGACTGAAAGCCTTCTCCCAGTGCTCCCAACACAATTAGTACCGAGTATAATCCTTCGCTACCACTGCCATTAAAAAATCATAACTGCAAAGATCCACGATTTAATATCACTCTACATATTAATATTGTGTTTCTTCAAACTGCACGGGAGGAGAGGATTACGATTTTGGAAGTGAACGTTGTACCACATTATTGGTAACCTAACTTGAAACTCGACAACGTGTACGTCTTTCAAGCGTGTCTCGGTAGTTGTTTTTATTGAATACGAATTATTTTCAATCGTGTCCGGTGTTTGGTACCAACAAAAACTATACATAGGTGCACACAAATATAACGATGACAAAAAACAACCGTAAACATGTTATGTGCAGCACGTCCGTTTTATTTATTATTGTAATAGGTATTATATTATTGCTACTATAGTACGAAATTCCACGATCGAAATCCCGGAAACGCACGTCGATCGGAAGCGATTTATTGCTAAATTTTAACAATGTCGATTGACTGTAAAAACGAATCTACAGATATACGTGGACGATTCAATTGTAAATAACAGTATTTGATTATTCGGTGTGCGTTTTTTCTCCTACGATTTAAGGGAAAATATCATATTATAGTATTATATTGTACACCTATAATATCCATCAAAACGTTTCATTCAAATTTACGTCATTATTATTGTATTCATACCTAAACATTTTCAATGTTTTCTGCCCTGTAGTAGACTTTGAAACGTTTTCATTATTGTCCTCGACAGTCATGGCGCCAATGTCCCGGTTTCACGACTGTCCCGCCCTGATGGGTTTTTTATGAGAAAAAATGTCGTTTAATCTAACTAATATCCCAACAAAAACACTCCGTAAACTCCGTGTAAAAACATCGTTAAGTAAAAAAAAAATGTCACTTAAGTCAAAAAAGTTGTGACATTGAAAAGGGCCTAAGTAATTTCATAAATTCATTAGTATAGAAGTATTTATAATTGTTTTGTATTTAATGAAGTGTGTTAATTTCATACAAATAATTTAACTTGCCTTGGCGGTTATTATTATTTATGACTCTACAACTAATTATACAATGTATCCAAGTCGACATGAATATTCACATCCCCGCATTGTATATTTTTATAGTATTACAATAGTACTATTCAAATACATCATACTAGCAGTAGCTGCCAGAGTTAAATTATTTGTATTAAATAAACACTCACTTGATCAAATATAAACATTTATAAATAACTCTATACTAATGAATTTATGAAATTACTCGGTGGCTTTTTTGATAACACAATTTATTTTTTGTAACTTCACCCAAGTTAACTTGTTAACTTGGCGATGTTTTTTCACAGTGTTGATGGAGTGCAGTTTTTGTCGAGATATCACTATTTTTTTTTATATAGAATTTCTGAGTATAGTAAATCTATGGTTTGTATCAATAATATTATCGAGTGAAAAGTGGTGGGAAAACATTTCTTAGAACCTCGAAGTTTAGAAGTCGGATGATTATTGATGAGTCCCTACCTACATTAATACGAATATTTACGTGTACAACACGCTTGCAATAATAAAATTGTATGAAGAAGTAATATTAATAATATGATGAATAGGTATTCAATCAAATGCACACAAAATGTAATATTTAAAATAAAATGGCGGCGGTCGTAATACAATAATATAATTATTAATGAATATAGCGTATAATATAATTTTGCGTTTTGTTCTTCCGGGCTCCGGCTGTAATCTTCCGATTTAAATTTTAAAAAACACCATATACATAGAATAATGAACAAACCCATGCGCATTATTTTCAAGTCAGTTTTAGCTACACAGTTCGGTTTTGACCTGTTTTTCTGAAAACCACACAGCTTGATGTTGGCAGTCTCGATGTGTAAAATATATGCTCGATCTACTCCGTTTTTACTTGGCTGTGCGAGCCCTGCTGACACAACCCTGCTAGTCTGTCGAAGTTTGATTAATTAAGAAAAATTTCGTGACATTTTGTAGGTTGCTAAATGTTTTGTTGACAAACGTAACCATTACTTCTAAGTTCTAACTTCTAAGTCTATTATATTGTTAGATATTAATATATAGTAGACAATATTATAATATTATAACAACAACAACTACAAAGTCCGAGTTTATAAAGATGGAAATAATATTTTGAGCTAAGGATTGATGGTGTTTATATTGTAGTCACTAATCACCCCCCACGAAGGATTAACTTTTCTCACGGATAGATAGGTTGAAAATGATGGACGTTTGAGTAGAAAAAATCAGCAGTCAAGCAGACCGGAACGCAAACTACGGTGTCATTAAGTATACAAAAGGCCCAAACTTTGTCAAGCATATTATACTGACTTCGTATGCTTTTGCAATTATAATGCCACATTATTATATTTATACGATGTGCGAGTTCAATTCGTAGGCAGTCGAGAAGTATGATTATATTTTCCGGAGAGGTTCGGCTGGTAAACCTAAGAATATAATAGTTTATGATAAACTATTCGAACAGAGTTCCAACGTATAATACATTAATACATCATAATATTATAATAATTGGCCGCAAAAATTGTCCGTTGTCAGATATTATAGAGGCCACTCCTTGTGAATACGTATTTCATCGACTATTGAACCGAGGGATGTATATTATAAATTATAACATTAAAGTCGAAGAATGATTCTTCCCGTGCCCAGTGGTACAGGACGCACCGGCAAGTCAACACAGCCTATTCATGTTGAATAAACATATTGTTAAAAAATATATATATATTCCTATTGTTATAATAGTCGTTCGATGTAAATCCGAAAGTATATATTATATCCGACCCAATCGGTTTCCCTTTGGTCTGCGACTATTAATATCCACAGTCCGGCTACGGCTTAGTGTGGAACTCGAAGAGGAAACGGTGTAGGGTGAGGGGTCACTCTTGAACCACAGCACATCCAGGGGTTCGCCGGTAAACCGTAAACCTTTTGTCCACCATAGTTGTAGTGTATACATACTGAGAGAGAGAGAGAGAGGGACGCGTACAATGATAATATAGTCGTTGCAAATATTCCGCGCTGGTCTGTCGGATCACGGCGAAACCGTATACATAATAATATATAATATAAGTACTTTATTTAGTTCACGCGAAAAGAGCTTAAACTCAAAGTAAATACATATTTCGCAGATTATATTATAACTATTGTTAAATATACATAATAGACAACAATATTATTATTATAGTCGACATTTATTTTTTTCAGACCCGCAATACGCCAGCATTGTAATATAATAGTTAGTATATTGGGATTACTGTATAAAACATAATTCCTACAATAGAATACACCATAACCTGCCTATTTGCTTTTTTTTCAGACAGTCTGAGTTCGTACAATCCAATAAATAAATATAATAATATCACCGTTCATTATTCCTCTTCATAGTTATGCGTACTAGCTAAAGGCGAAGGTTATTTTTTACATAGTTTTGCGTTTTTTCTATTTTCAAAGGTTAACCATTTTCGTGCAATATTAAAAAACGAAATATTTCCACACATTTTCTTTAGTTCCTAAATTCTTATAAAGTTTAATTACGAAGGTTTCATAGTAATAAAATCGAAGAGGTGTTAACTAGGTTTGTTCCATATATAATGTTACCTACATCAAATTGTTCCCAACATGTATAGGGACATAGGGTAATTGTTGGTTAGTTTTATCACCATAATATCTTATAGATTATAATAATTATGGTCCATAATATGCGTTCTCAGATGCTCACCTCAAATACCCTACGTGTTTTAATGTATTTTTTTATTAACATTGTATTTAATTTATACATTTTATCAGAGTAGAAAAAAAAGGCATTTTAGCTCGTCTATAAGAAGAAAACTAAATTTTTTGGACAGACCAGGATTTATATTTTGTATTAGGGTCAGTTTTACTGGTTAGAAAATTGTGATCGTACTATTTTGACCGACGTGCTTTCTCCTGAATAATTAGAGGAGATACTCTGCTGAGTGTTGGTGGTGATACGAAGAGTATTGTGATGATGCGATATGACTTTCAGAGTAGACTTTGTCATTAGAGATACAGCGGGGCAGCTGAACCTCTATAGGTGATCCGCCGTCCGAATTATAACTAATTAAAACTGTTACCAATTGCTCGATTGAAGTTTATACTTGCTCCGGATTGTGGTGAAGTATTGATATTTGGCATTTTTCTGGTGTTAAAACCTGTTGTTTTGGGTTTTTAAATGGAAAAACCACCAGTGTGTTTAACTCACAATAATCAAAGATATATGATGCAGAGCGGTGTAAATATATTACGGTCTGCTGACATCGAGATACTATATAGGAATACGCGTTAGATGGATACTTTTTCATAGTTATATGTCCAAGAGAGTTTTCCATCAGATACATATATGAAAATACGATGAAACGCTTAATGTGCGTTTAATCGTTTTATTTCGTTATCAGCGAACACGTCGTGCAATGAAATGAGTTGTCAGCAATTTCGGAGACAACCGATAAAGCCCAAAAATAAATAACCACTCGTTTTGAATATTGCCTTTTTTTTTTATATATATAATATATTATATCCGACGATTATAATATTATTATTGCTATAACGTTTTTTGATGCGTGAATACAAATATTAAATTCTTGCGATGTCCCAAGGTTTAAGTATTTTACAAAACGAATAGACAGTGTTGTATGTGCACTTTTACGGCATTTCGTATATTTGTTTTTAAAGTTATTTACTCGAAAATAAAACACTACACTATTATAGTACTGTTATTGTGAACTTAAAATATATCATTCGACGAATAGGCGATAAAAAAGTTACGACGTACGTTTCCCCGAAATGCGTTAAAGTTCAAATTGTTTAAAGTCTATAATATTATATACTCACTTAATAACGACGTTTGTTTTAATAAATATAATATAGTCGTCGTCTTCACTCTTCGGTCTTTTTACCGCGAGTCTACCACCCGGATTTCCCGCTACTCATCAGTAAAATAAAATAATATACAATAGCACCGGTTTCGTTTTCATAATATTCTAAATTTAATGTTTTAAATTTTTTTACACGCACTTCTTAACCGTTCGTTTACCGCATTCATGACCGTCCAAGTTTAAACTCAGACTACACGTGAATATTATAATGTTACTGTCAAATGTCAATACCATAACGATAAAAAATACATTACTATATTATTATAATTTATTATTATATATTATTTATATTATTGTCGTGATGCCATTGTGTTCTCATCATTGATATCGTGATAGAAGACGATGTTGCAGTTAAATACGAAATATTGTTTTAGCACAACGCTCATTTCGAATGGGTGACCGAATACGAGAATACCATTAAACGATTGTCTTCGGAAGTGTTTGACACCCTGGGAGTGCAGGACGAGGGACGCACGCTGGACGTCGCCGTCAAGGGTCTCGACGGGTTCCAAGGAGACCTGAAATCGTTAATGGACGCTCTGGTGAAACAGGTACAACTATATAAACACCCTGGTAATAAAATAATTGATATCGTCGTGACGATGATAACCGCAGACGATTACCGCGGAGATGACGCGACACGCTGTGATGCGAATACCATCAAATACTGCGTCCGTCCCGCGTATCTATGATAGGTTTTCCGACCGTTTTTCCGGCGTGTTCGCGATGAACGTCCTTCCAAATGTATTTTCCATCACCGTCCTCACCTCACCTGTCCGTCCGCCTTGCACAGGTCATCGACAATTCCAGCGTGGACGACCGGGCCAAATCCTTCGCCGGCGAATGGGCTGACGCCGCCAAGTACCACGCCGACCTCAAGTACCATCACGCGGGCGGCGGTCCGAGCGCTAAGAAAGTACGCTGGGGCTTCGAGTGCGCCATCAAGTACATAATCGTGTGCGCCACCCATCTGGCAGACAAGGGCGACGTGGACTTCAAAAAGGAAGTTTCCGGCTACGTGAGAGACGTCATCATTCAAAGCCTGATCGATCGTCTGAACGGCGTCAAGGTGCGAATGAAACGATATTCTCATAATATTATACTTGCCTATTTTTTTTTTCCACCGGAACGTCATACGATAAAGAATATTATTACATTATTATTATTTCCGGTAAATCAACTGTAGCATACTATATTATAATAGTTTCATCGGTGTTTAATATTTAAAAACTACTGCTTTGATCTCTTAATATAATTTAAATTACTTTATACGAAATCGTATATGCTCTCTTGGAAATCACGAATAATTAAAGTACCTCTACATTATTCGTGCGTCAGTATTCATAAATAATGTTATTATCGCTTGAAACCGTACGTACATTAAAACCGGAATTTGTTTGTCTAGCGTAATGTTTCTATTTCAAAAGAATAATTTAATTATATGAAAATATAATTACTACCATTATCATACGTCATATACATTTTAATAGTAACACTGGCGTATGCTTCTCGTACGCTTACGTAAATAAACAATTTATGATGATATTATCATAATAAATTATTTGACGGTCATTATAGTATCGGTTAATATTAATCGTTTAGGAGGCACTTAAAGGGAACCCTAAAATTATGGAGGAAAAAAACAACGCCGGTTACTTGTTAATTATTGCTATTATATTACATTTCAGAGCGAACTGGAAGCTCTCCAAAAAACCTCGTAGACACAACGACGACGTTATGCGCCGTGACGAGAACTTCTATACATACCTATTCTAATATTAAACAAGACAAACATCAACATAAATTATCAATTTAAACCTGTGTTTATTAATATATATTTTATAATACAAACTATACAATTGATCTAAGTTATTTCAATTTTTGTAGTAATATTTAGTTTATTATCATCGATAAGTTATAAAATATTTTACTTTTATTTTTGAATTATACAATGTATAAAACTAAAAATAATAAATAACTTATTCATTTCGAATTTACAATACCATACAATTATCTAAAATATCAGTGTTATAGTATTTTTATAAAAATCATATTGAAAAAACGTTTAGAAAAAAAAATACTAAAACGATGACTTGTAAATAACACTGCAGGTTAAGTAATATTAAAAATATTTGTAGAATAAAGTGTTACCATTGATTAAAATATGTAAGTGATTGGTACTCATTATTAAATTACAAATATTAGGTAAATAAAAATTCACTAAAATTTGTTGTTTTAGTGAAAAGTATGTGACAATAATTTTCACAATACCATTAAGTTTTTATACAACCGGTTTTAAATCGGTACGATAAGACAGTATAATGTGATATTATATAATTTACATGACTATGTTGGTACATTAAGAGTATTAACAGGTATTTAGTACAACGTTTTTGAGGAAACTTAATATTGAAAGATGAAATCATATGTGAACAGTAAAAAAAAATTGACTGGAGGCGTACCACATTATAGACGATTTCAATCTCTGAAGCAGATTATTACATTGTTTTTAGTATACCTGTGTATTTTTATTTTGTTTTTGAACATTTATATTTTATAAGTTTTTTTAGGTATCATGATTTTTATTTTTGTTATAAAATTAAAATAAGAAACCATTTCAATAATTACTACATTAATACAATTAATAATACAATGATTATGACCAAAGTTATGACATTTATAACTATGATTATTATTATTGTACCTCTCTACCATGGATTAACAAGTTGTAATACGGACAGTGAATAACGTCTAGGGCCAAATTTCGTGCGAACAAGTGGTACCTAACTGGAGTAATATGGATACCGAACGTAGTGCAGACTATTATAGCCATACAGCATATTGTTACACGAGTGCCTAAATTAAATATAATATTATACAGAAATATTATGTTGTACAATAAAATATTAATTTTAATTTGTTTGAAAAAAATCACTTAGGTTTGAGCGAATGACATGACGCGTCAGCCTGTGGCGAAGGCGCTTGAAATCATTTTCCGTGAACTATACTGTCTCCCCGCCATGCATTAAAAGTAAACTAAATATTAAATTCAATTGACTCCCATTAACAGTACAACGGATCAACTGATTTTTCCGCTATAAAGGAGTGGTTGTTTCCTTTGTAGGGAGACTATAAAGTATACGGGATATAGGTTCAACGGGACTGTTGTTATTGTCCGTTGTAAAGTGATTTCGGTCTTGTAGGGGGTCCGTTATTAGGAGGTTTTACTGTATATTATAATATGAAATACGCTTGCCATCGACGTGACCCAACCATATATACCTATGTAATAAGGCATACACGTCACAAAATTTCGTCGTCGAAAGTTGCAGCAGCTGTATGCGTATAACTCCGTACCTTGTATTAACTATAGTGATGCATTAAAAATATAATATCATATCAACCTCAAATTGTTTCTAACAGCGTAGTGTACTGGTGAAAATAAATTGGTCGTATGTAGATCGGAACTCGCGGGGGAGACCGGCGCTGCACGTCGCAATTTCATTATTATTATTATGCGGTAATGGCGTACAGGCGGAAATCGGTCTCGAGGGTGTGTTTTAAAGTCCACGACTGTCGCCCTACAATATTATTATACACTCCCCGAGTTCGAAATAGTAAATAAAATGTAAAACCTGTGACCACGCGTGACAATGCGCTCTCGCTGACATTATGTTCGTTTCCACGCGGTACCTATTTATTTTCACGAATTTCGGACGTCAGCTGACTGCAGAATTATGTCACATCGGCGGTGATAGACGGTCACTATATTATAGACGCGTCGTCTCGAGCGCGGCTTTCTATTTTCGAATTTTGGATTTGGAAAACCGGAAAAGCGCCGGAGCCCTCACCGAGTAGCTGATACCGAGATAAGTGTTATTGCTCCCGAGAAGAAGCGTCATTCAACATCTGGAGAAGCAGGGCCGTAGACACGGGGGGGGCATGTTATTATTATAATAACCCCCCCCATATAAAATTCCTGTCTATGGCACTGTGTAGAAGTATTCATCAGTTCGGTATGCAGCTAGATTCCTAAACCTTACATGCCAAGCTAGTACTCCCGACGAAGCCAGTGGTTTACTTGCTCGGGGGTTAACTATACAGGTGTATCGCTTATTATTATAACAATATACACTATTATCGGCTTTCATCGATCTTCGTCGTAAGTTAACACGCGATGATGTCGTACAACTCATTCACTCACACCTGGCGTGTTATAATCATTCTGTATACACCGCCAGCAATGACATTTTAATCGTTGTATTGGTATTTTTTAAGGGCACTTGAATGTACGACGTTTGGTCCTTCGACAGAGTTCAGATTTTAGTCGACACCGAACGGCTCCGCGAGATCGTCTGGTCGGGATTGACTGTATTTATAGCTTGTGTGTGTGTGTGTGTGTGTCTGATAAATGGACGGCGACAGCGGGAAAGCGCGTAATAAATGCGTGTCTTTTGTGCAGCCCCAGTGTATGTATATAATATTATAATGATATAAAGGCGGCTAAAATTATTATTCCTCCGTCGTGCGTGCGAATGTAAGAGTCGGTCGTCTGCAGCGTCGCCATCGTAGCCTCCGTGGCTGAGACACATACCGTACCGGAAGACAGATAGAGAGAGAGAGAGAGAGAGAGTGATAGAGAGGGTGGGAGATAGATAGGGTGAGTAAATGTGTATGGACGAGGTTGAATACAAGTCATGGCAGTTCTTATAGTTCCCCGCCAGTCGGATATCGTATACTCGTATAAAAGGGATCGAAGTGGAAAAAAGTGAATTTTTTTAAAGATTCTCTCGGGTTTTCTCGGACGTGTCGTTGTGCGACGTTGTAATAGTGATAATATCATATATTATTATGATATCCGGAAAGTGTATAATAAAACGCCGAGTGCTATAGACTAGCTGTCGACCGTCGACGTCGCCGCCGCAATCATTACCAAACAACGACTTCAATATCCATTATATAGTATACTTGACAGAGTTATGAATAATTGTATTATATACGTTTTTCAAATACGTCAGCTTACAACTCATCTGTTGTAGGTAACGAAAATCAATTCAGTGTAAAATTCAGTGCAGAAGAGTTTGATTAACGTGGTTTTATGATGCCCACATGCGTCATGGGGGAAATATCTTTGCTTTTTTTGGTGGTTTGGGGGGAGGTAAGTGTTTGGATTGACTATGTACCAAAATGTTATTATACGGTCACATAATAATTGTATTATATCTATTATAGATTATAATATTAAGGGGATTAAAAGTGAGTATAGATACTGAAATATATTATTCTGTACATCATGGCTTATAAAATATGTGTTCACCACACCACTGATTCATTGAATTTATTATCAGACCATCCAGAAGGTGATTAGTGGGCAACGGTTTTCCTCCGAAAAATTAAAGCTCAGTTTATTGAACTGAATATAACTTTCTTCAATCCTCGCCTTTCTGAAAACCTTTAAGTTTCTAAATATTCTTTTGATCACACGAATACGTATCAAACAACATTATGCATATTGCAATGAATTTATAATAAATGAATATAGTGTGATCCAATGACATGATTTTCATACATCGTTGTTTCATCTTTGTTTTATATTTTAATGATAATATCGCAGCTGCGGTTAAACAAAAATAATACAAAACGCAATCGTAAAAGAATAAATATAAATAAATTTTTCTAATTGTTTTTATTGTTTAAACTGTATTCAATACCAAACTATATCCGTACATAGATGGCGAAATTCAGTCGCATATGTAAAAAAAAAGTTTGTAAACTCGAACCACAACAGCTCCTTTGCATCCAGTCGCATAATAATATAATATTATAATTTAAACGCTATTCTGTCAAATTTTACAAGCAGTTTTTATTTATTTATTTATTTGTAATACTACCAAGTGGCGTAAATTTCTTTAAAAGGGGGGATCAGAAATAAGTAAACGTCATACCTAAATGGGAGGGAAAAATTGGAAAATCCCCCAGTTTCTCAAAACTTTTACTTAGGTAGTAAAATATTCAACAATAAGGAGCAATGAATATAATTTGAATTGATTCAAAATTCACATCAAACACAATATAGAAGATTATCCACTCCAAAGACAATGGAAGCTAGGGGATGCCTATGCCCCCTCCTTATATACGCCATTGATAATACCTAACACATATAATTTTCGAGTCAATTCTTGTATTTTATAAAAAAAATTATTTTTAGATACAACTAATGTGTAATATTATTATTAATATTTTATTATATGTACGTAATAATATTATGACCCTAGAATATTATTGCCGGAAAACTCATAATAATTGAGTCATGCCCTGTAACACTAATTTTATAATATTATTTTATAAAATATATTATGTTGTCTTGGATTTGAAATTACGCCGTGCGTGCAAATTTAAAATTTGTGCGGCCCCTACGCTATTATAGTTGTGTAGTGGTTTATCGTCTTAAAGTTTTGCCAAACTGAATTCTGATATTCGCGGAATTTCATTGTCGATAATTCCTGGATATAATATAATTATATACAATATATTATGCTGCGCATAGTGTTTACATATTATAATATTTTAACGTTTAAATATTTTACGTAATCCGAACAGAGTTCGTGAACAATTTCAAGTATTTTTTGTCGATAATAAACTTATCATTTTGTCGTTCAATTATTCTCGTCTTACATTAAACTTATCGAATTTCAAACGCGCACGCCACTATTATGTTACCTATATAAGGCACCGGCTCGAGGAATTAAACATCACCAAACACGCTCCAAAGCACATTAAATATAATACAGTCTTTGCTTGTTGTGGAGCACTCCGAGAAAGACGATATTCATCAATCGACGAAAAGCACGTCGGAGTAGGTACCTACCTCTTGGAACACAAGTAATTTAATCAATTCAATACGTCATACACCCGTATCATATTGTTACCTACGTCATGTTGTTACCTGTTCGTTGTCGCCAATATTTAACTCCGGAGCTTTGCGCTTTGATCTTAGCCGGAACTTATCTAGGTATTTTTATTACAATGTGGTTAGGTTTCCTAATACGTTTAGGAAACACACAAAATTACTATTATCGATGATAAAAATTTCGAGTGCCCGAAAAAATTTTGACAACGACTTCTGCAGAGATTGAAATTGAGTCTCGGTATAGACATCTCTCTCACCACTCGGCTGTTTTTGTTTTCGAAAGCGCCACAACGACTCTTCTCACATGCAAGTTCTCGTTGCAATGAAGCTCTGTTATGCCTCTGTCTGTCTGTCTCTCTCTCTCTCTCTCTCTCTCTCTCTCTCTCTCTCTCTCTCTCTCTATCTCTCTCTCTGTCTCTCTGTCTCTCTCTCTCTCTGGATGTTTCATTATTTAGTCTCGGTCATCAGACCACGTGTAAGTTCTATGTCCGTTGGTATTTCGCGTGCACCTGTATGAGGACTTTGCTGATAATGCGAAATACAATTTTCTGACACTAGCTGGACTTCACTGCTTGCGTAACAGTTTAATATAATATAATTATGCTACCCGTGGAAGAGCTATAATATGATGTGCAGTGTCGTGGTGGGGGCGTTTTTACACTTAAAAGCCGTTTTTTTACAAAGGACGTCAGTCATCGCACTGTATTGTCGCAAGCATATTATATTATAAAAAAAATTATACCTATACAACAACGCAATTTAACCAGCTATACTTTTTACGACTAGCGATTATTATTTATTTCGCCCCGTTTTCCCTTGCCACGTATATATGGTTTGGACGTGACGTCCGTCAAGAAGACGTTAAAAATGTTATTCAACGGTAGGTAATACATTATTATCATTCTATCCTATTATACGGATATAATGGAGGTGGTACGCTGGGGATGAACGTCGTATGCGTAAACAGCCAAAACGCAGCTGCAGCGTCGTATTATTATTATTATATTGTATACTTCGTCGTCGTCGTCGTTGTATAACAACGATATAATTACGCGTATTTAAGAAGAAAAAAATAAGAAAATACTGCAGTATTGTGTTTCGTGCTCGGGAGGAAAAAAAGAAAACGCACGGTCCGCGGTGGGGCGGCAGCAGGGAAAAGCGATTATTAGTCGTCGTGTCGTGCGGGGGACCGCGGGAGGTCTCGCTTAGTGGATTTTTAACGTTTTGGAAATTTTCATCATAAAACCTTATGGGTCCCGAAAACGGGCGCGTTCGGCGAGTGACTTTTACATTTATTTGCGACCATAACGCACTCCCGCGACGTCGACGACCGTAATAATACGCATTATACGTAACCATTATCATTACGATTATTGCCATTGCGATCATTGCACCAGCACATTCAGTCTACACATAGCGTCGTTGTTATATTATACTGACCGTCAGGGGCCGTAATTGAGTTTCAACACTTTGCGACCCACTGCCACTCACCGACTGGCGGGCGACGACGGTCAGCCACCATACCAGGTATATAATATTATATGACGTTATAATATGGTTATTACTTATTAGGTATATATACCAACACTCTCACAGATTACGCATGCAGCTGATCATTGTACCTGCGTACCTTTACACCGATTCGTGTACAGGCTGATTTTTTAATCATCATCATATACTGATTACTGACCTTATTAATTCTTCCGTTTGATAGTGCATATTTTATTCAAATTTCTCTCATTTTTTGTAGTACCCACTTAAGGAGCGTCTTGTGCAGGCGATTTAAACTCCTATTTTTCAAATGAGAACGATCCCAACCACGTTTTTTCAATGCAAATTTTTAGCGAATGTTTTACTGGAAAACTTTGATGCATCTAAATCCAAATTCTAATAATGAGTAGTTTCTGAGCTATTAAGATGACTATAGGTACTATAATAAGGACAACAATCCTTGAAAATGGTTTTACAACAATTTAAACTATTTGTAATATTAGATGTAGTATTTATTGTAGTTGGATAATTTTTAAAAATTAACATCAAATTCTCAAAAAAAAAATATATATGTTGAATAGTTAAAAGTGAAAAAGGGGGGGGGGCTCTTGACAGAAGTTTGTATTTTCACATCATCATCCTTAAGTGGTACAACAAATCTCGAGTATTCAAAAATATGGTTTTCAAAGGGATTTAAAAATTAAAAAAATTGAAATAAAATATATTATGAATAATTTAAGCAAGCAAATAAGGTAAACGCGCTTAAAAACATCACTCTGTATACTATTATAATGACGTGTATAATTATTATCATACTGTTACATACGAGAAACATTTTCCACTAACTTTTTGTTTTTTCGTTATCTCATTTCACGTCCTATCCGATGATAGAAATAATATTATAATTATTCGACTCCCGCTGCTGGGCACCACTGGTGAAATGAAATGTGATTTTCCACAGAACGCCAACGCGTCTCTCGAAATTGACGTTACGTCGACTCGGAGTACAACACAATAATATAACACAATATCAATAATAGAATATAATAAAAATACATTATATGCCTGCCAAACAACGTTGACGACAATAATAATAATAACATAACCGTCTAGCCGCCGCATCATGGTCCAAAGGTTGGGAGGAGGTTCGGTGTTATGGTTTGTCGCGGTCGTCTCAATGTCGACCAGCTCGGAACCGCTGCAAGTAAGCATTTTCTTTTTTATTCTTTAATTTCCCTCAGCGCAATAATATCGTAACATTATATTTTTAGTAACCACGAGCGCGATATATATTATGGTATGTGGTTGTTATCGTTCGTTTGTTGAGTTTTTGTGTGTATACTTGAGTACCGTGTGGTCGAAAGGTCAAGGATGTAAACGTAGTCAGTTCTGGTGTATATGATATATATATATATATTGTTTATTGGCGACTTTTCTCCATTTCATAGACGAAATAATTACGATTTCCGTTGTTACAACCGAAAATTACGTTCACTCGAGGAATTTTGTTCTGTAAATTTGGTAGTGAATACGTGAAGCATGGTAATATAAATATGACGAGTTTTTTTTAATTCTTGGAAATACGTGGCTCGCTATTTTTTTTTTTTATGTTTAAGAAAAGATTTTTGGATTTTTTTCTTTCGTATAATGACAATGCTGTACCTTCACTTCTCGCATCGTATTTATTAAAAGGGTATAATATTAACTTTTAGTGGTCCAAAAAATTTAATTTTGAAGAAATTATTTTTTGACTGTTAATCGAAAAATGCATATATCTAATTTACTAACGGCTTATTAATTATAATAATTTACAGTACATATCGAATGAATGGGACACGAATCCCATTATAGTATTTCTTGTCTATAGTGAAGTTATAGATTATTGACCTTACATCCCTTTTCAACTTAAGGCGGTGTAGACTTTGGGACTCAACGTTTCAGAAGAAATACATAAATTATATTTTGTATTCAGACCTCTCGGAAGTCTGACATGTATGGGTAAATTTAATTTTCATAAATAATCGTACTGAAAATTTCTATTTTCGATTTTGATAGCAATTTTTTTCATTTTACAATAAATTACCATAACAGTCAAGCGGACCAAAAACATAATAATCTTAACTCCGGTCGCCTGGCTTTCAAAAACTGTTACTAATACATTTAAGTCTATAATTTTAATACAAAAATAACATGGTTCTAAATAGTTGATAGAGTTTAACTACTTTTATTAAAATGCCCAATTCCCAACGGTATTACTCAGTTGGCGATTTATGTATGCCAGTGAAATGTATAATTTAATTTGCGCGCAAACAACGTTGGTTTTCTTTATCATATTATTTTATTGCTGCACATTAAAACTTGAATTAATTAAATTGACAAAAATATATCATTGCTTCATTTATTTTATGTAACGAAATATATCATCCAATCCAAAGAGCCAACTACTAAACTAGGATGAATTAAAATAACGAAAAATAAACATAATCGCTTTGTTAAAAAAAGCATTATTGTTTTTTTTTTTTTTGGATCATTGGACTAGTGAGATTAAAATTATATAATAGTTTATTTCCACAGCCATTATCAATACGGCTGTGTGAATAGTTCAATAGTATTAATCTAAGTCTTTATCATAAATGGGACAATATCTAAAAAGAAATTTATTATAAATTAAATAATATATTATTATTTTACTCGGAATAAAACTAAACAAATTAAAAATAAAAGATTAGTATTATTTCAGATAATAGGTTCAGAGTAACAGTCGTATTCATAAACAAAATATCCACCTCCGTATAAATACATTAAAATTTTAAAATATTAACTGATCTAATAAGTAATAGCAAAGAATATTATCGATAATATATAAAATAATCTCCGGCCTCATTCAAAATTATACGTAAATAACAAAATAGATTGAACAAAAAATCATCTTTATATATGATATATAAATCAAAAACTAACTTGCGTTAGTGATCAAATTTAAAATTAATTGTAAATTATCTATTATTGTTCTGTACCTAGCATAGTCAATATCTAATTATGTCTGTTTGTGAATAGATGATGACAAAGATTTAATTTATGTAAAATGACACGATGAACAGTGTTCTAAGTAGATAAATTATTTTTTCTATGTTTTTTCAAGATTTTGTGATTCGCTTACTTTTGATAAATCATAATAATTCATTACTTATTGAAGTTATACTTCTTTACGCACGGTAGTGAGGAAAAAAAAAAGCGAACGGTCGTGTGTACGAACGGGCGGCGCGTACGAACGGGCGGCCGTACGAACGCGATAGCGTACATGTCCGTAAATAAATAAATATTGTCATGGTAATGTTGTTTTATTATATATTATAATATATATATGTATATATCTGTATATATAAAACAGTAAGCTGATTGACTGCTATCAACGCACAGCTCAAACCATTGGACGGATCTGGCTGAAATTTGGCATACAGATAGCTATTATGATGTAGACGTGCGCTAAGAAAGGATTTTTCGAAATTCGCATTTTAAATAGGTGCTCAAACAGGGACATTGAGATTCAAGATAGAAATTGGAAATTTTATTTTTATTTATTAATAGTTACCATTGGTTACAGTCTACATTAGAAATTAGCATTTATTTATTGGTTGCCATTGGTTATTCGGGCAGATCAGGTACAAGCTTGCATCAAATCAAATTATTGAACATTGCCTACCAGAGTGGCTGAGTTGCACTTACCCCAGCAAGTTACACCCAAAAGGAGTTCAACAATCATAATTTTTTTAAGAGTTGTGATTTTTTACGAGAAACCAAAATTATTATATGAATAATTAATGATCAATGATTATTTATTTTTATTATTATTATTAGTATTCACTCACAAATCTATTGTCTGGATAAAAACAATACTACAAACAATTACCCATCGACCTGTCGAGGAAAAATATAAAAATAATAATAAAACTATCAATAATAAATAATTCCGGATACTTCTTCTCATTTTTTAAATTAATTAATATTTTTTCCTTTCTTTTTCACTCACTCACGTGTACCATTCAAAAGACGTACGTGTCTCCAGCCCCCCCACATTCGAATTTTCCAATTTTTTTTTGGCAAATAATTAGCATGCAATTAGCATGTATTTGCATGCTAATTTTTGTAATTTGCATGCGTTTTATTTAGGCGTGGTATCAAAAAATAGGTGGGGGGGCTGTAGACACGTGTCTCCGACCCCCCCACACATCATAAAAATTTGAAAAAAAGTTTTTATGATGTGTGGGGGGGTCGGAGACACGTGTCTACAGCCCCCCCACCTATTTTTTGATACCACGCCTAAATAAAACGCATGCAAATTACAAAAATTAGCATGCAAATACATGCTAATTGCATGCTAATTATTTGCCAAAAAAAAATTGGAAAATTCGAATGTGGGGGGGCTGGAGACACGTACGTATTCAAAAGAAGTTTAACTTCCCGCGCGCGTACTGGTAACACACATGGTTATTTTTTTTTATATTTCGTAACAACATTAATTTTGACTTTAATAATATTTATATGTATATAATGCAATTTATAACCTAATTACAAAATAATAAATATAATAATAATATAATATACCGTTTAATCTGTTTTCTATGGTTTATAGTTTATACCTATATAAAATGCTATTACCTGTGCATAGGTATAGGTTTATTTTTAATTTAAAAATAAACGTTTATTGTTACATGTTTTAACCGTTAAGGGTAGTTTCGATTGGGCTTTTGCGATTTGTCCGTACAGTTTGTTCAAAAAATTGTATTTTATTGAACTGAAAATACCCGACGCGTACGAGGATATAATAGTTTCAAAACTTTTATTGGTACCGATTGGTCAATTTCTCCAACCAACCCCAACCCTACCACCACCAATACCACCACCACCACCCACCCACCCACCTCCTCTAAACACTATTACAAATAAATTGTCGTTTGGATAATCGTTTTGTCTGCTGCCTTTCGGGGGAAAAAAAATACTATTCAACTCGATTTTCGGTAAAACGAAAAAAAACCAAGTCCGCAATATTCCGGTGTACCTATACATATATATATATATACAAATATATTATATTACTATCGTTTATATACGGTGGTTCACGTCATATAAACTCAGATCCCAACGCAGTTTAGAGTTAAAATATGTGTATGATGGTAATCGTAATCGGTAGACATTATTATATCGACCTCCGCAACCGGAATAGATAGTATTATTAATATTCACCTCGCGCAGTCGTACACCAAAATATCGTCGGCTTTGAGCGTGTCGAGTTGTACAAGTCGACTCGTAAGAATAAATAATAATAATATAGAATATTATTACAATAATATATTATACCGTCTCGATAAAAATGTGTGAACTTCTGCGAGACCGTAAACGGTTTAACGATTCGAATTCGTTCTCGAGGACGTGCGTATCTCAGCGGTATTGCGTTTTAGAAATAGTCATCGTTGTATAGGTTTGGCGTACAATGTTCAAGGTCAGCCCGTCGTCGCCAGGACGAGGTGTGCCCGAGGATAATTATATTTTGTAAATGACTGTGAAATGCGACTATATGCGACTAATGGCTACATATGACGGTTTTTTATGATTCGAGATCGATAAAAAAAATATATATAAACCTATATCGACGGGTGTAACCTAGCAAAACCACTTTGTTCAATCTGTTAATATACAAACAGCCAGTGGCGTACATACGGGGGGGGGGGGTTCGGGTTCAAACCCCCCCCAGGACCAAAAAAAAATAAAATAATAATGTGATATTATTGATGAATTTCTTATTATTAATCAACCGTGTATACACAAATATACGTCATAATAATATGACTATTGAGTAAACAGTAAACACTATACTTAACCAACAACGAAAAAAGATTCCATAACGAAATTATGGGTGCCGTATAATATGGTATATCAATCAAAATAGACATTATTTTGATCGTACACAGTCAGTTAGTTGCGTGAGGATATAAATACATATTAATATTGTCTTTATCTCGACCGACTCGATCAGACAACGGAGGAAAAACCGATTGCGTTATAATCGTTGAATTTCGCGTGAGTGACAATAATACGGTGAAATGGATTCTATTTTTATAGCACTAACATAATTATTGACCATGTTAAAATATTTAATTATGAAATGTTCGTTCATTCTGTTCTATTTTGCCGTCGGAGAAGTTT